GGCCATGAGGTTCGTGTGCTCCTTCTGCTGCTTCCGCACCTGCCGGACGCGGCGCCGGCGTCAGCCCCGGCGAGGGACGGGGCCGCCCCGCGCGCACAGACACCTACCTGGTCCAGCTGCTTCTGGATTTTGCTCTGCTGCTCCGTCACCAGCTTCAGCTTCTCGGCGTCGGCCTCGGGGAACTCACGGCCGGCCTTCTTGGCCGTGCGCTGCTTGGCGCACAGGGCCTTGCGCGACTTGCGGTGCGCCCCGATCTGCTCCTCCAGCACCTTGAGCTGCATCTGCAGCAGCTGCTGCGTGTGGAAGAGCCACTCCTCGTACTGCCGCTGGTCGGCCTCGTCTGCGGGCGGCAAGGGGGCTCTGCTCAGCGGGCGCTGCGCGGCCCGGGCCCTGCCACCCCCCGGTGCCACCGCGCTACTCACTGATGACGCCCTGCGCGAAGCTGGGCGGGTTGGGGCGAGCCTGGCTCGGGTCGGCGCCGCTCCGGTCCTGGTGGAGGGGGGAACAGTGGTGAGGAGCTGGGCCCTGTCCCCAGTGCTCTCCTGTCCCCTTTCTGCCACCCCGGGGTGGCACGGAGGCGCCGGGCAGAGCAGCTCGCCCGGCTCCGCGGCGTGCGGCGCTCACCTGGCTGCCTCCTGCCAACATGTGGTTCTGCATCTCCGAGACCGCCGGGGCTCCCGAGAGCCGCTGGGCCAGCAGGGAGACCTGTTGCCTTTGGGATCGACACGGAAAGGAATGAGCCGCCGTGGCCGAGGTGCCCTGCCGCCCCCCCCCGCCGCTCCCCTTACCTGTTCATGCCCGGTGCTACCCCGATGCTGCCCTGAGCCATCACCTTCTTGATGCCCTTCAGCGCGACCATCTTGGCCTTGGCGATAGGGTCCATGATGTCCTCGGCAGCAAATTTATCCAGATCTGCCACGAGAGAGGCCCGCGTGGCACCGTGGGCTGCACTGGGGACGCCGCAGGCCCAAACCAAGAGCGGCTGGAACGGCCCCATTTCCCAGCACAGCTCCCGAGAGCACCGTGGCCCTCGTGTCCCTCCGCTGCAGCCAGGACCCCATGCACCCAGCGCCTACCTGTGTCGGGGAAGAAGCTGTTGGCGAGTTGCTGCTGCCTGACGAGCTGCGGCGGG